ACCCATCACCATGCATGCGGCTGACAGGTGAGAGCAGCCACCTGTGCGGCTCTCCAGGTGACAGGTTCCCTGCAGCCCAGGCATCTGGCTCCTCCCCCTTCCCGTTCCCTGCTCCACACAGGGTCTTCCCTGCAGACCCCACCCCTTCAAGGTGTCACACAGCATATTCCCTCTCAGAATAAGGCGGACTCTCACAGCACCGCGCTTTCCTCTATGAGGCCGGACACAGCTACTGACAGCCTTCCCTGCGTCCAATGGCAGTCCCGGAACCAGCCAGGGAAGAATGAGAAGCCATCTTTTCCACCCTCCAGGGGCCTATCTGGGTGGCGTGGGGTTAGGGAGCAGCCACACGGGAAAAGGCTCAGCTCCCGGGGTTCCCGTGAGGGCTGACACAGTGACTGACAGTGACAAAGTTAGTCCAGCACACAAACTGGAAAAAGGAGAAATGTCTGCCGCGCTCCCGTTTCTAGTATTCTCTTCCTTATTTAGAAAACTTCAGTCCATCGAGTGTTCCTTTGTTTTGAAAAGTTTTGAAAACTCCCAGAAATAGAAATGAAGCATTTGATACAATGAAGAGGTCTCCATATGCACTCAGGAGCAAGGGCTGGGATCTGAAGGGCCGCCTCAGGAAAAAGAAGCCCTTGGGCCCCGATCCTGCGTGTGAGGCCTGGAGCTGCAGAGAAGCCAACTATGCACTCAGGAGCAAGGGCTGGGATCTGAAGGGCCGTCTCAGGAAAAAGAAGCCCTTGGGCCCCGTCCTGCGTGTGAGGCCTGGAGCTGCAGGGAAGCCAGTGGCAGCCTCCAGCCTGAGACCCTGCCTGAGGCTTGTACACAGTGGTGACAGCTATCAGCACCAGCTCCGTCACAGGGCCCCCTGCCTGCTAGCTGTGTGGACTTGGGAAAGTCCCCTGACCTTTCCGTTTCCTCTTTATCTGCAAGTGGAGATCACCAAGCCTCATGAGGTGGTGGCCAGGACTGGGAAGGCGCCACAGGAAACACTTGGCAAGGCAGACCGGGGGGTGGGGGTGGGGGGTTTGTGTGTTGGGAAATGCTACCTACTGTGACTAGTACCACAGCTGCAGACCCAGCAGGGTGAGCTCAGCTCAGCTCAGGGTTAAGGGCAGCAGAGACAGGAAGGCTACACACCCAGGTACCGCAGGCAAGAAAGAAGATGCAGATGCGAGGACAGAAATGATGCTGCTTTCATAAGCTCTACCACACAAACATTTCAGTGAAAGATTTGGGTTAAAATTTAAAGTGAATCCTCACTATAGTCATTTAAAGTAAATTATGTCTCTTATTACAAAGTAGTTGTTCTTCAGATTCAAGGCAAAACTGCTTTAAAGCTAAGTTATAGCCTTAAGGAGGAAACCACTGAAACGCTGCCCTCCCTCCTGGCCCCCATGAATGAGTGAGTCTCGGAATACACACCTGAGTACACACCTGTGTGGTGGGGTTCCTGTTTGTTTTGGTTTATTTGTTTTGGAGTTGGCCTGGGGGGTGGGGACTTCAGTGGTGGTCTGCCATCATATACCTGGCAATTCTGAATGATTAAATCTTGGATGTAGTCAAACTAATCCTTTGTTTAACTTAGGAGAAAGAAGTTAATTTACTTAAGTTTCTCTAGATAGTTTGAATAATGAAAGCCCTAGTAAATCCATTCCTTAAAAATAAGTTTCTTTATTCAAAAAAGCGAACTCTAGAGTTAAAACAGTGAGGCCATAAAAACTCTCTCCTGCCTACCCCACGACCAACTTACAGCAGGATATACCAGGCGTATTCCCTCACAGGTTAGTAATTCACATCTACCGGCCGGGGCCTCCAGGATTAACATTCGTAAACACGAACGGAGATTTTGGAAACTGGCATGTGAGCTAACTAGTCATACACGCTTCCTCTCTGAGTCACACAGCCCGATTTTCAGGGATAAGGCATTCCTCTCGAACATTGCCTTTTGAGGAGCAAACACATCATACCAACGGCAACCTCACAGACCTGTAAAAACGAGATAAGGACCTCGCTCTAATAGGTAAATAGTCCAATCAACTTCGAGAGAAAACAGTGTTGCAACTATAAATAACCTGATTTCCTGTGCTCAGCAAAAGTGGCAGTTTAGACTGCAGGGTTTAAAAATTTTTTTACTAAGGAGGCTTCCGCTCTGTGACATTATTTCTGGCCCCCAGAAACTAACTCTTAAAGAAAAAGGGAAATTTAGTCTCCATTTTTGCCCTAGTGGGACACCCTTAATATGTGAGAAAAGACCTAACTTGTTCTATAATTTAACTGCTTGAGGAAGTGACCCATCTAAAACAAACCCTAGGATCTCAGGACTCAAAATCTCCAGCTGAGCTACGGCAGGACCAGCCCCCAGAGCACCGCCTTCGTCCCCGGATTCGTCAACACTCCAACTCAGGTAGGGACCTTGGCACAGGTGCCTGGTGGGATGGGGCTTGGCAGACTGTGCCCACGCTCTACCCAGACAGACTCTCTCCGGACAGGACTGATGTTTGTCAGTTCATGCTAGTCAGGATGTGGAAAGCCACCAGAGGTGACACAACCCATCTCAAACACGGGAAGTTACAAAAGTGGGAGAAGTGCATGGTTTCCACACTGCCCCTCCCACGCTGGCACCGACTACCATGAAGGAGCTGGGCTCCTGCCCTCATCCTGCCGCTTCCTTTGCCAGGTGAGGTGGAGCTTGGCAATTCCGCTTCCTGCCAACCCCGGCTCTCCTCTGACACTGGGGTGGCCCCCTGCCCTCCTTCCCCACTGCAGACCCCAGTTCCCAGACAACAGGGTCACTTAATGAAGAACACAACGGGCAGCAAACAAACAGTATGAAATGCCCAGAGGCCTCCAGCCGGAACACTGCCTCGCCCAGGGTGGCTGCAGGGTGACTCCCTTCTAAGGCTCCCCACCTCCACTCTCCAAGAGTGTTTGCTATTATTTACTGAAAACAACCCTCCCACAGGTTCACAACTGCTTATTGGAAATCCCGGGACCAGGTATGTCTCCGGCTTCAACTAGAAAGGCCATAAGATGCGGCCACCATATATTCTGCCACAATCCCGAGTTACAGCCTTTAACCAAGCCCGTTAACGGGGCTGCAGAGGAATGTATGGACGTGTTCACACGCAGAGGTAAAGACTGAAAAGTTGCCCACCAGCCAGGGCAGGTCTCACTGCCAAATGAATTCTGCCACACACTTACCCAAAAAAGCAACAACTTTTGGTTTTCAGAACTTACTGGATCCTGGAATTGGTAGGGCAGCGATTTTCAACCTTTCCCATCTCATGGCACATACGTATTAGTTACTAAAATTCTGCGGCTCACCAAAATACATATTTCCTGCCAATCTGACATAAAAAGTAAGTATACTTTTGATTCATTCACACTGGATGGCTATTGTTGTGTGGACTGTTGTCACTTTTAATTTGATAATATAAGGGAAAGCAGGTCAGTGCCCCTAACTAAACGGTCAGGTATTGCACGTTTCAAAACGTCTTGCGGCACAGGGACTGAAAATCGCTAGAGGAGGGGCTGGTGGGCCAGTGCGGATGGAGCACCTTCTCACCCAGGGCCCGGGCCAGACTCCCCTCTCACTATTTCTATGAAGCAGGCGTCTCAGCCAGACCCAATCCAGGGTTACGTGAAGGGTTAAGGAGACTTTTGCTATTTCTACTCATTCCTCTGATGGACAGGTCCCTCCCTTCCTCACATCCTCGTTCTCCACGTTTACTCTTTTCTTCTTCAAAAAGTCCCCGCCCAGAGTTCCTTCCTCTGAGCCAGAATCTCGCCCAGGATTAGCATCGCCCGTCCTGGCCATCTAAGGCTTGCCTAGATGGCTCCTCAGAACGGAACGTCGGCCTCTGGCAGCACTCCGCCCTTCCTTCTCCAAGGGCCCTTCCCTGACGGGATTCCAGGGCCCCTCTGCAGGTTCCCAGGCCTAGAAACCGACTGGGTGAAGGGGTAGGAACCAGGGGCAAAGGTCTGGCCCAGGGCGGGAGCTTTACGTGAGGTCCCAGAAGCAGCACAGTAAAATGGACGCTACAAACCCACCTGACCGTCCTCAGCAAGGAAGTTAACTCCCAAGTGTGCACTCAGCAGAGTCTGTTTCTGTACCTTTCTCTGGTTTTACCTACTGGGGAACTCCTTCAAGGTAAGGGCAGTCTTCTCATTCTGAATCCCACACAAACACCAGGTGATTAATTCCTACCTGGTGAAGGAGTGATTGTTTTGGGCTCAAGTTCTCTGTAGTACAAACTTTAAACATTGTAACATGTTTCTTTTCCAAAGTGCATCCTCTCACCTTTAGATATTCATGACCAACCACAAGCCACAGGACAGTGGGTAATGATGAACCTTCCCCACCTCACCCCGGCCCAATTTTAACTCAAATACCCCACAGCCATGGGTGTTAAGCCAGATAACTGTGAAATCCTGCAGGGTCCTGTCCAGACCCCCAGGCCCCAGGAGACCAGCCAAAGTCTATTTGGGGACGGGGGTCCTTGGGGGAGGTGGAGAAGTCCTGCTCGGGTCGAAGGTCCGGGGCTGGGTAAGTGCTCAGAACCGCCCAGCCACAGAGGGCGCCAGCCTCAGGGCATGGGCCCCCGCTCTGGGCACCGGCTCCTAGCGCTGTATTTTGTAAAATACCGAACGACCAGCTGGGAGGGACCCTCTAAAGCGCGGTCCTCAGACCTCCGCCCAGCCACACAGCTGGCAGAACCGGTCCCAAGGTCCGTTCGTTCGTCCTGGGGAGGGGCGCCGTCCAACGAAACCTGCTCTCCTCGCAGGAGGAACTGAACGCACTGTACGGAGAGCAGGGCCGCTCCCACCCGCACATCTTCGCGTGGGGACGTTAATTTCAGGGGACCCCGGCCATGCGGAGCCCACCCCACCCCAGCGCAGCCAAAGGTGCCCGCTGCCCTGGGCCTTGGAGCGCCAACAAGGACCAAACGTTCGCAGTCCGACGCGAAAGTTTCCCAACGTTTTCCTCTTACCAGCCTCTGAGCCTCGGGGCTCAGACAGTCTATTTCCTTGTTCTGCGTGGCCGCCGGGTTGGTCATCCTGCCGCTGCAAGTCCCGCTCCCCACACCGCCGGGAAAGACTCGGAACGCGGGCTCTCGGTCCGCGGGCGCAGGCTCTCAGCTCAGCTGCATCCCGAGCGCGGCGGTTCCAGCCCACGGACAGAC